TTGCTGGGAAATGGGAAATGTTTTGTCATCTTTTTGTTTCAGTGTCTGTAATGTGGAATGTATTCATGAAGAGAGAAAAACATGGGATTCCACTTACTCTCTACAAACCCAACCAAAATGCAGATCTGCACATTTTATGGCTTATAAATAATACATAAGGACTAAACTAATGAGGTCACATTCCATGAGGAAAAGCTAAGTAGGAAGTGATTCAGTCATAACCATACAGGTGTTTTTATATACTCCAATCAGAGCACTGCTCAGGTGAGGAGAAACTGTAAAAATGAGTACAGACAGTCTAAACAATGGAAATAAAGAAAGAATGCAATGTTTGCAAAACATGCTGAAACTCAGAATTTAAAAAAAGTACATGCTCATTTTTGATTTGATATTAGCTACGCCTTTCAAAAACACTGGAAAGGGGCTTGCTTATCGAACCCTTCTTCATCAAGCACATGTCTTTTAAGTCAAGTGAAGTGGCTTTATTGTCATTTCAACCATGTGCAGTGGTACAGTACACAGTGAAACGAGACAGCGTTCCTCCAAGACCATGATGCTACATATAACAGACAATCAACACAGGACTACATAAAGTGCAAGCATGCAAAAACTGCAAAAAAAACCCCCAAAACAGTGCAACACCAGGCTTGTGTCACGATACAGACACAAGACAGTGCAGACACAACACTATATATCCAAAAGTTGATTCTGTTCATCTGGATGTAGCGTTTTGTGGGAGAAACGCTTTGTCACTCATCCAAATGACTTCTTCAGTCTCAGCTGACTGCAGGTTTCCCCAATCTTATAACCAGTACATTTGCATAATGACTGAAACCAGCCCAGTGAAGGAACAATGGGCTGGGAGGTCAGTTCCTTAATCTTAATTATGCAAGTTCTCATGACCGTTGATCAACAGCCACTGATCAAAGCCCACTGATCAATGGCCATGAGTACCATTCACACAGAGTTGGGGAATGGCTGCAATCACAGCATTGTAAGATGGTGAAAGATGTACCCTTAGGCCCCCTCCTTGATTCAGAGATGGTCTTTCCCTTTTCACGTAAATGGCCTCCTTGACTCCGCGCTCAAACCAGCATTCCTCCCTGTCCAGGATGTGTACATCCTCATCATTGAAAGAGTGTCCACTGGCCTGTAGGTGAAATAGACTGCGGAGTCCTGGCCTAACGAGGTGACTCTTCTGTGTTGTGCCATCCGCTTAGCCAGAGTTTTTTTGGTTTTCCTGATGTATAAATCCTGGCAATCCTCCTGGCACTTAACAGCGTACACTATGTTACTCTGTTTGTGTCGGGGGACCCCATCCTTGGGGTGGACCAGTTTTTGGCGCAGTGTGTTTTGGGGTTTCAAAAGCCACAGAGACCCAGTGTTTAGAAAAAATGTGTCTCAACTGCTCCGATACTCCTGACACATATGGGATCACTACAGGTTTTCGTTTAGGCAGCGGTTGTCCTTCTCTCCTGGATCAGCTGGAGCTTTCTTTTGGCGCCTTCCCAGCTTTGACAAATGTCCAGTTGGGATAACCACATCTACTCAGGGCTTTCTTGATGTGATGTTCTCCTGCCTCCCTGGCCGCTGTGTCTGTGGGGATGGTGTTCGCTCTGTGTTGTAGCATCATGATGACACCCAATTTATGCTCCAGTGGATGATGAGAGTCAAACCTTAAACACTGATCCGTATGCGTAGGTTTACGGTACACGTCAGCTTTTTAGATGTCCCCCATTACTGATGGAAATCTCACAGTCTAAGAAGGCTAACCTGCCACTTTTCATATCCTGAATTTGATGTGTTGGTCCACCGAGTTAATGTGATCCATGAAATGTGGTACGTCCTGAGATTTGATTTTCACCCAGGTGTCATCCACATATCTGAACGCTGTGCCAAAAATTGGTCCACCCCAAGGATCGGGTCCCCCGACACAAACAGAGTAACATAGTGTAAGCTGTTAAGTGCCAGGAGGATTGCCAGGATTTATACTTTGGGGAATCCAAACAACCTCTGGCTAAGAGGATGGCACAACACAGAAGAGTCACCTCGTTAGGCCAGGACTCCGCAGTCTATTTACACCTACAGGCCAGTGGACACTCTTTCAATGATGAGGATGTACACATCCTGGACAGGGAGGAACGCTGGTTTGAGCGCGGAGTCA